AAAGTCTCCAATATAACTTGTTCATTTGAAGCATCTAATGCACTTGTAGCTTCATCCAAGATTAAGATCCTTGGATTTTTTATCAGTACTCTAGCTATTGAAAGTCTTTGTTTTTGTCCACCTGACAATTGAGTTCCGCTACTTCCTAATTTTGTTTCATATCCATTTGGTAATGTTTTTATGAATTCATGCATATTCACTTGTTTTGCTGCATTTTCAATTTCTTCAATCGTAGCATCTTCTTTGCCATATGTTATATTTTCTCGCACTGTCATATCAAAAAGTATTGGTTCTTGGCTAACTATTCCTATCTGTTCTCTAAGCCAATGAAGCTGAAGAGTTTTCAATGGTTCTCTATCTAATAATATTGATCCTTCATTTGGATCATAAAATCTTTGAAGTAATGTGGCTACTGTAGATTTTCCATTTCCGCTTCTTCCAACTAATGCTACAGATTCTCCCGATTTTAATTCTAAATCTAGTCCATCCAATATCTTTGCGTCTGGTCGTCCAGGATATGAAAAATGAATGTTTCTGAATTCGATTTTTCCTTGCATATTATCAAGTTTTTTACCAGAAATTGTATCCTCCTCAGATAAACTAAGTATCCTTGCCACTGACTTTCCAGCTTGTTTACTCTTAGCGAAATATGGAATAGTAGCTAACATTTGTGAAGCCGCAGTAGTGCAAAATATAACTAATGTCCAAACTTGTAGCATCGTTTTGAGATCATAAGTTCCTTGAGATACTAATTGTGCACCATACCAAAATGTTAAGGCTTTTGAAAAATAACTAAATGATTCCAAAAGTCCAGATGTAAGTCCACAAACGAACGCTTTGCGAACTCCAATTTTAAATGGAACGCTAAGTGCTATTTGGAATTTCTCTTGCATTGCTCTTTCAATAGCAAGTGAAAATACTGTTCTAATGCTAGAAACCATTTGATAAAACAAGTTTGCTGCTTCTTCATTTGCGACTTTTTGATTCTTTTCATATTTTTGTAAGACATAAGCTTGTAATTCAGATGCAATAAGTAATACCGGAACCAGTCCGAATCCTACTAAAGTTAATTGCCATCCAATAGCAAAGGCCCAAATCATCCCTCCAAGTAATGAGACAAGTCCATATGTCATATTTCCTATAAAGCGTCCTATTAAGTTTTTAGTTGTATCAGTATCATTAACAAGTATTGTCACGATTTTTCCAACTGCATGATCCGGTACATCGAACCATGATTGAGGCTGCCGTAATACTTTTCCAAAACCTAAATAACGTAATCGAATTGCCCATTGTTCCGAAGCTCTTTCAAGTAAATAATATTTAGCATGTGCAGTAATTCCATTCATAATTGCTATTCCTAATACGATTAACGCATACATTTTGGCTTCTTGTTGAAGCAATGATTTGTCTGGAATTGCATAAGTGTTAAGCAAACTGGCAAGAACGAATGAAAATATTGGCATGACAAATCCATTGACGAGTGAAGCGAATAGACCAAGAGAATATAGAATTCTATTTTGCATTGTGTCTATAATCATTTTTTTAAAACTTATGCGTGGTTTCTCATTCGTTGAATCATTAGTGTTGGTCAAAATTTCTATTATACCTTCATCATCAATTTGTTCATAATAACTTAGAATACCAAAATATGAAATTCGGTTTTCATTGCGTTTTGAAATTGCTGCTAAAGCTGTACCATTAAGAACATCTACTACATTGTTATCAAGGCTTTCTTCATAAAGTGATTGTCGCCATCCTGCTCTTTGTGAAGTTCGCCACCCCATTTGTGAAGTCATGCTTACTGATCGGTTTAAAAGTGATCTTGTTGGTATATTCTCAGCGGTAAGATAGTTTGAAAGTTGTTCTTTATTTTTATAAATTGGTAATGTATCAGATCGTTTTAGCTTCATGTTAATTAGATCTAATTGAGGAGTCCGTCTTTTAGGATTAGGTGTTGCTAATGATTCTTCGACCAGTTTTGAATAGTGTCCTTTAGAATTTTTGAGAAGCTCAGCTGGAGTACCATGTTCGACCACTTCACCTTCATGTAACACATAAACGAAATCTGTTTCTGCTATATGAGCTAATTGATGAGTAACTACAATAGTGGTCCGACCTACACGGCTGTTTTG